CAACAGTGTACAGTTCTGTGTGCAATGCATTGAAGTTGCAAGTTCTCTAACACATACATACAGATGCTGACAAGAAATGAGCAGAACATAGGAAATAATTCCATGACAGGTTAAAATTCAGAGTGGAATAGTCATTAAGTAAGCAATTGTCTCTAATGTAATCTTCTTAACAAAAACAGGTATATCTGCTTGAGACTGACAGTGAACATAGGCTGGTAAGTAGTGTATCTTATTTAGAATATTCTGGCACACCAAACAAAAAAACACATCTAATATTCCAGTGTCAGTCTAAGAAAATTCCATAATGAAGTCTATAATGAAGGGATCAGCTCTCACTGGGGTTTTGATTAATAACACAAAGAAAACTTGACTTGTAGATTAATAAGGAGGTATGATTTATTTGGTGCTCTTATTGCAAAATATTTGTGTAAGACTTTTGGAAGTACTTTCATGGAAAAATGTTTTAATTGTCCTTATATGGGTCTTTTTAAATTAAAGAAAGATATTTGAAATTTAGAATGTGAAAAGTTCTTTAAGATACTAGGTGACACTGATAAAGCATAGCATTCCAAAAATTATGAACATCTCTTCTGGCTAGTAATAGTCACTAGCCCACACAGGGAAAGGTTTCTTGGCTTACAGACAATGCTTTGCAACAAAATAAACTGGAAACTGTTCCTGTCTTTTAGAGTCTTGAGGGTATTTAAGAAAAATGTTTACAATAGCTTTACTGGGTAAAACCAACTGTTCTAATAAATAAATATATGCAGGTATAACCAAAAAAGAGTCATTGGTGGCCATACTTAGAATGGTTGGCTGGTGCTTGGTTCAAACCATGCTCCAGTAGAAAGACAAAAGGAATTCCACTCTTTTTCCTGCCCAGTGCCATACTGGTGAGTACCATAACGGCTGTTGTATCCCTTTGTGTTCCAGAGTAAATCACACAAATTGGGAGATACTGTAGGATAAGATCCCATGAACAGCTGGGATTCCTGTTGCATCTCACAAATAAGAGCAGGAAAAAATTACAATGGATTATCCAATGGATTTGTTAAAAACTGGAAATCTCATATTCCCGAGCAGTCTCTCCCCATCGATAGCTGGCTGGCCACTTGACGTTAATCATTCTCATGTTTGTGTCTTCATTCACCAGTCGTTGGAGTTTATGAAAGACTTGTACTGCAAAGTATTTCCTTGGTGTTTATAGACATGGGGATGTGTATCCATGCCATTTATTAGAGTATTTGAAAAGGAAGTTAGGACGGGGAGGGAGGTTTGGATTAGCAGGTCCAGGTGCCTGGTATTGCTTAGGTGTCTTGAATGGGCACACGCTTTGCTGGCTAAAAAACTGGCTGGATGGCCGGGCCCAAAGAGTTGTGGTGAACGGAGTTAAATTCCATTGGCAGCTGGTCACGAGTGGTGTCCCCCAGGGCTCGGTTTTGAGGCCACTCCTGTTTAACATCTTTATTGATGATCTAGATGAGGGGATAGAGTGCACCCTCAATCAGTTGGCAGATGACACCAGGTTGGGTGGGAGTGTTGATGTGCTCGAGGGTAGGGAGGCTCTGCAGAGAGACCTGGACAGGCTGGAGCCATGGGCTGAGCCCAACTGGAGGAGTTTCCATAAGGCCAAATGACAGGGGCTGCCCTTGGGCCACAACAACCCCCAGCAGCGCTACAGGCTTGGGGAGGAGTGGCTGGAGAGCTGCCAGTCAGAGAGGGACCTGGGGGGGTTGATTGACAGCCGGCTGAACAGGAGCCAGCAGTGTGCACAGGTGGCCAAGAAGGCCAATGGCATCCTGGCTTGTGTCAGCAATAGCGTGGCCAGCAGGGACAGGGAAGGGATCTCA